CAATCGCCCAGTCCAATACCCCACTCACCCAGTCCAATACTCCAATCACCCACTCCAATATCGCACTCACTCACTGAGTCCATTATCCTACTTCCCTACTTCAACTCCATATTGCTACGATTTACAACTTAGCTCTCAGGAACTTGGAGAAGTATCACTGAATTTAGGAGTAACCAGGAAGTGGGAGAGGAAATTACGGCGCAGAAGGAAACCATTTGGGCCCAGTCTACCAGTGCGGCTGAATGTTGAAAGGAAATTGCAGTGTGGGTGAATACAACTCACTGTGTTTGACAGGTAACAGAGAACATCCTACCGTGCTGTGCTGGGTATCGGTGCTGCGTAGATATGGGCAGGGACCTGCGCAGAAATTTGCATAGTATCCTTTGGGCTCATGTATCCATTTCCATCTGAGGTCCTGTCTGAAGTCGATATAGAGAGGACGCACACAACAATTATCTTCATCGTTCCTGACAAAAACAAAAATAATCAGTCCTCCAGTTCTCTGCAGCATGTTTCAGCATTAATGAGCCGGTGAAGAGGTGTGGTGCAGAGTGTCCCTGCCTTTGAACCAGGAACCCCAGCTTCAGCAAGCACTCATTGGCTGGTGTGGGTCTGAGTGCTCCCAGCAGTACTGAGCTCCAACCCCAGTCTGTGGCCATTGCTTCAGGAGCCCTCCTCAGTGGGTCAGTGTTTGAGTATTCGAACAGGATTGTCACAGAGTGGGAGATCATTCTCTGTGTGAGGCTTACGGGATGCAGATTGTCACTGCAGAGGCCAGCATTTATTGCCCGTCCCTAACTGGCCCAAAGTGAGTGGCTTCTTCAGTCACTTCCCTGGTAATCACTTTGCTGTGGATCTGGAGTCACATGAAGGCCAGACAGGGGAAGGAAGGCAGATTTCTTTCCAACAACAACTGGGAGAGGTCGTGTTTGCCATTAGCTTCAAAATGCAGGTTTATAAAGTGAGTCTGTGCGTAGGCTTCTGCCATAGCAGCATTCCAGTCCTGATTCTCATTGTACGAGTCTGGCCCACTGCTGACTGACCAGTAACATGCAGGAATTGGTGAGCACTGGCAATATCACCACATTTACAATCCAGCCTCAGGCTCTGGGTACGTGGCTTCAAACCCCCACCCTACCCCCACAACCATTACCATCATCCTGGAAATGCATGGATACCTTGATAGGGTAGGAGGGTGGGATCGAAGGGATAAACAGCCTGCTTTTACACTGTAGGGATTCTATGATTCAATGAAATACAACAACACCTAATCATTTCAGTCTATTCACACTGTCTGAGACTTCCTTCACAAACAAATCAATTATTCAGACGTAATTTCCCTCCGACAGTGCGGCACACCCTCAGCACTGACCCTCCGACAGTGCGGCGCTTCCTCAGCACTGACCCTCCGTCAGTGCGGCACACCCTCAGCACTGACCGTTCGACAGTGCGGTGCTCCCTCAGCACTGACCCGCTGACAGTGCAGCGCTCCCTCAGCACTGACCCTCCAACAGTGCGGCACACCTTCAGCACTGACCCTCCGACAGTGCGGCGCTCCCTCAGCACTGACCCGCTGACAGTGCAGCGCTCCCTCAGCACTGACCCTCCAACAGTGCGGCACACCCTCAGCACTGACCCTCCGACAGTGCGGCGCTCCCTCAGCACTGACCCTCTGACAGTGCGGTGCTCCCTCAGCACTGACCCTCCGACAGTGCGGCGCTCCCTCAGCACTGACCCTCTGACAGTGCGGCGCTCCCTCAGCACTGACCCTGTGACAGTGCGGCGCTCCCTCAGCGCTGACCCTCCGACAGTGCAGCACTCCCTCAGCACTGACCCTCCGACAGTGCAGCACTCCCTCAGCAGTGACCTTCTGACAAAGCTCCCCTGCTGTCATTCAGCCAGTTTTGTCTCCATGTTGCTGTTGCTGTTTTCAAACCACGAGCCATAACTATCCTTTGAGGGGTTAAATCGTTGCAGTACCATTTGAACCAATCAGGTGACTTATTGATACTTGGTTGGAGTGTTTGGGTGAATGAATGAGGATTTCATTGTGAAGTACCTGAAGCAATAAGCTGTGTCCAGTGCCCGTTTCTTGCGGTGGCTGTGTTGCTGCTTGTTGTCCAGACGGTGTGGGGGCAGCACCATGAGGATCAGGTGGGGGTTTGTCGGACCCATGTGCACCAGCTTTGGCTCCTTCCGTTTGGTCAGTCTGCCCAGATCCCCACTGTCTGTGAATTCATAGTCATCGATCCCTGTACAGGAAACAAACAAGAGGCACATTCATGAGAGAAGCTTCCAGAACACAGAGGCCATTCTGCCTGCTAGCTCTCCCCGGGACGGTTGAATCATTTGGTCCTGCAGCTCATCCTTTGCCCCATCATCTTGCAAATTTCTTCTGTTCAGGTACAGTCCTGTGCTTTTCTGAGAATATACTTGCCGCTGCCTCAGGAAAGCAGCCAACATAATCAAAGATCCCTTCCACCCCGGTTATACTCTCTTCCACCCTCTTCCATTGGGCAGAAGATACAAAAAGTTTGAAAACACGTACCAACAGATTTAAGAACAGTTACCTCCCCGCTGCTTTCAGACTAATGAACAGACCTCTCATATATTAAAGTTGATCTTTCTCTGCACCTTCTCTTTAGCTGTAACACTATATTCCACATTCTGTTCTATTACCCTGATGTACTTAGGAAGGTATGATTTGCCTGGATAGCACGTAAAGCAATACTTTTTACTGTGTCTTGGTACATGTGACAATAATAAATCAAATCAAAGAATCCCTCTGCTTTGGGATTTCATGCCCCACCCCAGTGTTGACCAGATCCAACAGGTCTCTCTCTGGGGATGAAAAGGGTCTGTCTTTTCTCCTCTCCGTCTTTCGCCCATTATTTTAAAATCTCTGGTGTGTGGTTTATGACTTACACTAACCCATGGCAGGCCTAACCAGAGATTAGAGGTTGGTTGGCTCGCCGAGCTGATTCATTGTTTCGCAGACGTTTCAT